GGAGAGATGGCTCATTGATTAACAGTGCACACAGTAGAGGACCTGAGTTCATTTTCCAGCACCCACATCTGGAAGTTTACAGCCACCTGTAACTCCAGCTCCATAGGATCTCACAGAGACCAGCACTCATGTGACCGCACACACACACACGCACACACACACGCACACGCACACACACATACACAAGGCTGGAGGGATAGCTCAGAGGTTAGGAACGTTTGCTGCTCTTGTAGAAAAGCAAGGCTCAGTTCCAGCATCCATATAGTGCACTAAATACATGCAGGGATTTAACACATACACAAATGCGCAGACTCTACAGCAACCTGGGTGGCTTGCATCAGTCATGTGCCTTCTGAGTCACAGTGACTGGAATTTTGTTCCCTTAAGGAACTGGTTGTTTTTCCAGGTTGGCAAGTGCATGAGGAACCTGGCTCCTGGTAATCATCACTAAACAAATACCTCAACACCTTTTCTGAAACTTGTCAGAGCTTAGGAGTTCATTGAAAATGGGTCATTTATCACCAATGGGAAGAACCCATGGGAGTTATGGAGGAATTGTTTCAGTTCAGAAACATTCAGCCATGTGGCATTTGTCAGAAGAGCCTTGAACATCAGACAGGGCCTCGCTGGGACATCTCTGAGCTGACACCTGCAGGTGCTCACGGGAGTCATAGCTCCCTGCCTAATCCCCAGAAACCATGTGTGGACTATAAACCATGGCCTGCAGCCTGCTTCCATCTTCGTGAGTGAAATCCAGACCCCACTACTGTAACAAAGGCTTTCAGTCAGTCTAACCAGCTTGGGTGGAGTGACTGACACCACACAGGGTGCCTGCTAGGCTCACAGGCCTTGTGTATTAGATAAGACCGGAGCCTGCGGTGTGGGATGGCCTGAGGTGACCCTGCGGTCTCAGGACTTTTCTAGGCTGTAACAAACCAACAACAAAACTGACAAAAGCGACCAAAAAAGTGCTTCATTTGGACTCAGAGTTCCGGGGTTCAGTCCGTCATGGCGGCGTGGGTGGGAGGCAGCTGGTCACGTGATACCTGTACACACACACACACACACACACACACACACACACACACACACAAGAGGTGGATGCTGGTGCTCAGCTTCCTTTCTCCTTTCACCCAGTCAAGGATCCCAGCTCGTAGGATGGTGCCATCCATACTTAGGTAGGTCTTCCCACCACAGCTAATCCAAACGAGAAAATTTCTCACAGACATGCCCAGAAGTCTCTGTTCATGGAGACTCTAATTCCCATCAGGTGGACGGTCTAGATTGACCACCATACCTTAGAGTGCACCCACCATTGCTTACTGGTCTTCAGAGTTGGGACGCCTCTCAGGGAGCTCTGGTTGGCTGTACATCTCTAGTGGAAGCTGAGGCAGAACATGGTGTATAGGTTCCTGTACTGGGATGAAGAAAGGAGCCCATGTGACCATTACTCAGGATTTATGTCAGAAAGTATCATTGTTGGAAGCCTGGGGCAGCCTTGTCTTCTGTGGAGGACTCAAGTGTTTGCAGTATACCTACCCTAGTATTATAGACCATCATAGCTAAGGAACAACGCTTAAACAAGAAACAGCAGCAGAGGGCTGGGGACATGGTTCAGTGGGTAGAGAACCTGTGTATCGTGCAGTATTCCCCAGGTTCCACCCCCAGCAGCACATAAACCAACTGCAGTAGCACACATCTGCGATGCCAGCATTTGTGGGGGGGGGGAGTGGAGACGAGAGTAAAAGTTCAAAGTCATCCTTGGCTACACGGGAAGATTGAGAAGAACCTGGCTATGGAAGTAAGGGAGGGAGGGAGGGAGGGAGGGAAGGAGGAAGAAAGGAAGGGAAGGAGAAAGGGAGGGAGGGAAGGAGGGAGGAAAGGTAGAAAGAAAGAAAGAAAGAAAGGAAGGAAGGAAGGAAGGAAGGAAGGAAGGAAGGAAGGAAGGAAGGAAGGAAGGAGAAAGGGAGGGAGGAAGGAAGGAGGGAGTGAAGGAAGGAAGGGAAGGACCAATTACCAGCAGGACATTGCAGGCAGGTGTCAGGAGCAGTCTTCAGTCAGAGCCCAGATCTCTTCAAAGTCATGAGATACCCTTCCTCAAGTGGAGTAGGGAGAGAGTGAGGAGATGTCCAGTCTGTAAGGTGCTTGCTGGGCAAGCACGAGGACCTGAGGTCAGGTTCCTAGCATAAATGTGAAAAAAAAACCTAGGTATGGCACCCTGCATCTGTAACCCCAGAATTTAGGAGGCAGAGATAGGTGGCTCTTTGACCACCCAGATGAATGATCAAGATCTAGGTTCAGTGAGAGACCCTACCTGTTTCAAAAAAAATAAAGTGGAGAATAATAGAGAAACCAGGTGCCTGCCTCTGAACACCACACACATGCATACACACACACACACACAGAGAGAGAGAGAGAGAGAGAGAGAGAGAGAGAGCAGGGAAGGTACCTTGCCTAGCACCTCTTCTACTTCTGATACCTATCAAAGAGGCCTCAGAGACCTGTGCAAGTGAGCAAGCAGTACCTTTCAGCAGAACCGGGAGAAGACCCAACATGTAGGCTCCAGAGCTGCACCGGGCTCCTGGCAGGCTTAGGGACAGCAGTGGGCTGCAATGGGCTCAGGGGCTGCAATGGGGTTCATTCCTGTTGGATCAAGGAGGCCGTGGTCTCACTGATCCCAGGAAGCAGCACTTGCCCTTGCCTTGAAGCTGAGTGAAGACTGAGGTTCTCTTTTTCATCCAATCAAAGAAAGCCAAGAAACTTCACTGACCTGGGCCTGGGCCTTTTACCCAGCTGGGGACAGAGGCAAGGAGAGGATAGTGACAGTCAAGTCCCCAAATGCCGAGGGAGCCAAACTGACTGTTGGTCCAGTGGCTGGGGGCAAGACAGCCTTAAAACAGCTGTTCCATGAGAGCCCCTGTGTGACAGGTAATCTCGTTTATTCTTCGAGAATTCCATACATGAATATGATACATCCCCAATCCTCCTTCCAGCTCCTGCTGTGCACCCCATCCAGGCTCTCCTTGCCACTTCATGTCCTGTCCTAGTTTCCAAACACATACCCTACTGGGTCCAGTTGGTATTGCCTGTGTGCACACGGGTGAAGTGCTGGCTCCTGGAGCATGGGCGACCTACCAAGGGCCGTGTCCCTGAAGAAAACTGGCGCTCTTTCCCAGTGGCGCCTGACCAGGAGTGGGCTTTGTCCACCCTTCTCCTACCCTATCCATGCTGGAATCGACTGGTTTTCCTTCCGCAGCTCTCGGGAAGGTAACCACAACAGTTGGGAGCGCTTGAGTGCATTGGGAATTTGACTTGCGTTTGAAATTACCTAGAAAACACACACGGGTGTGCCTGTGAGGGTATTTCCAAAGAAATTTAACCGAGCTGAGAGGACCCACCCTGCATGTGGGTGGCGCCATCCTATGGGGTAGTGTTCCAGATTAATAAAAAGGAGAGAGCACAATGAAGTGCAGCGTTTATCACTGTCTGCCTCCCTGACTGCACCTCCTCCTCCTCCTATGTCACTGTCTGCCTCCCTGACTGCACCTCCTCCTCCTCCTATGTCACTGTCTG